CCCCTCCGTTAATGGGAGGGTATGAATAAACGTGAGGACGACTGCAGACCAATTGCAGCATCTTAAGTCTGCATTTTTACTTCTATAAAGTCATCCTGAAGGAACAGGACAGACAATCGGACAGTGTCTCACCATGTGGCTTTGCTGAGACTGGGTGGCGCCATACATAGTGATGCCATTGGTCGGCGGTGCCAACTGCGGTGCGTCTGATTGGATAAAGCCTCGTCTGTCAATGAGACTAACGAGAGAAAAAGCAAAGATTAGACAAAGACATTGTTTGTGAGGATTCAGCAAATACTGTCACCAACAACCAAACACATAGAAGAGAATGAAAAACACAGAATAACACCATCAAACACATTCTTTGCCGCTACGAAAGGCTTTAAAGGTAAAGATGTAGAAATGAAATGCAACATACTTAGATCCAAGTCAATGTTACTGGAGATGGAAAGGATTACAATCGTGCAAATAAGCTTGTGTGCCAATTGTAAATAGTGAAACTAGCTGGGCGAAGAAGTAAGTTGTATACAAACTTCATTACTCAAGTCTTGACCATGAGGAAGATCGAGTGAGTGCAGACGCTCATTTTTTCCCTCACACAGACATTCGCACAAACACATAAAATCGCAACTTGGTAATAAATCACAGTGGTCCTGCAGTGGAGCAGTGGAGTGAATCATTGTTTCTGTCCCGACGTTAACGCTGCAGAACTCTGACGCAGCCGGTTAGACAACAACCTGCTGACCTTTGGTATGCGTATGCACATGTGTGTGGTCACGGTCTACATACAGTAATAGTGGCTATTTATTAGCCAGACAGAGGTTGATAACACAGAGAAGTCTCTACGTTTGTGGTGTTAAAGCGAGGTAATCGTTTAGTATTTGGACTGGGTTGGAATCAGTTAAAAAAAAAAAAAAGCGGTTTGCTAGAATCACAGAAATAAGCTCTGCAAATCTACTGCAGCAGCCTGTGGTTCTGGCAACAAAAGTCTGCAAATGCGTTTAGGAGCAAACGGGCATGAAAACATGTAGCTTGATGCATTTTAAAATGTGAGTCAAGGTCTTAGCAGGGAATTAAACATAAAAGGCTTTGCGTCTGAGTGTGCTCGTGTGAGAGGCAAGCGTTGCCTCGCCGAGTCCGAGGGTGAGGTGAAACATTCCTTTCTTAGTGGTGGAGCCAGCTGTGTGATGCCTGTGGCCACACAAACACACTCACATGCCCAGATGGCAGCCACCTGTGCATTGAGGACTCTCCTTTGCCACCCACTGGAGTCATTATTGGAGATTTATGGTTTGTGATGGCCAGAGCACAGAGCAGCCAGATAACACCCGTAGAATATTCCTAAAAGCCTCCATCACAGCCCTTCTTATACTTTGCATGTGTTTGTGTGCATCTATGTTTAGGGAGGCATTTGGTAAACTGGAGATTGTAGGTTTCTTGCACCATCTATTTGTGCTTCACGGTTCGATGAATTAAAAGCAAAAAGGCGGCGTTAAAGGCTCCAGAAGGGTTAAAGATATTTGTGACATCCTGACAATGTCACTTTGAGTGTCTTCAAAGTGGGTAAAGTGGCCTTTAAAGATAACAGCAGAGAGTGGGTATCTCTGTTCTGTGGGCACTCTGTTCTAACCGTGATAGAAGAAAAAGAAAGAGCAGCTTAAGTCGGAGGAATCGGCAGCTACAGTTTCACAGAATGAGCGACGTTGGGCAAAATGCTGAAGTGAAAGAAGCTGGGAGGTAATGTACGATGTGTACTGACATTTACAGTCACATGGACGTGAGAATGTTGCTGTGACAGCTGGCCTGTATTTTTTTTTTCTAAATCATATAAACAGAAAAAAAAAAAGAAGCATGAAATCTAATATATCAAGCCAACTTTGATCTGAAGACTTGGTTAAAATAGGCCTGAAATCCTTTCCACTCTTGCAGTATCTTTGCTATGTATAGAGAAACGGCTGCAGGCAGGCTCATTTCAAAGCAGCTCTTCACATCAAACACAGTCTTGACTAACAGTTCTATTTTAGCCTTTGGACAAAATGGAAAATTACAATGAGAGGGGGAAAAAAAAAGGAATAACAGGTGCTGTGACCTATTACCAAAAAAAAAAAAAGAATGGGTTTTACTCAGGGCATGGGATGATAGGGCATATGTCATCATCTGAGCATCTGGGACTGCATAAATCACCTCATAAAAAAAAAAAAAAATCACACGTGCACATTCACAGACGCGTCATACCTCGGTGGCAGGGGTCCACACAGCGCCGCGCAGCAGTTGGTGAATATATTGCCATGGCTGTACGGGTTGTAGTTGTCCTTCCCTCTTTTAGAAGACCACGAGCCTTTTATCTGAACGAGACCACACAGCGTTATGAGTCACGCCTTCGGTGGGACAGACAAATAACTCAAGCGTCGCTGATAAACAGAGCAAAGACTGCTGTTGGTGCATTGTGGTGCTAAAAGTGCTCGTGGCCAAGGCGGTGATAAAATCCACAACCTTGGGCGTTATAACCAACCGAGCTAACCATCCTTGCTGACACATGACTCTCTCTCCGGTCTGACGGAGGTGAAAAGGATTCAGGGCTCAAGCTGCGAGCACATGACCAGAGTGAGTAAGGTTCTGCTTCCCTTTGATATCTAGTATTGTGCAATGCAAAAGCTGGAAAGTACAATAACACAGAAACACACACAAAGATGATGCACTAAATTAATAATTATTAACATTAATAACACAGAGATAACACTAATGCTACTTCTAGGTCACTGAAAATTTAAAAGAAAACCTATTTTCAAACGCTTCATCACGAACAAACCTCCAACGTTTTTGAGTCATTTTAATAACACACACAAGATGCCTTGTGATTTCCTTGATGTCTCATTATTCTGCAGTGTACATTTTAGATTACGTTACATGTGGGGTGCTTTTCATCATCCTGTCTTATTGTTCCTCGTGACTCCTCTCCTCTCGCGACCTGGTTCCGATGTCATGAAGGATCTTTGAATTACCTGAATAGGCTTCTGGGGAAACTTAGACCACAGAAGAACAGAAGAAGCGTACGCTACGCGGAAGTCTTTTATCATATGTGTATAAATGCCGTACTTTTGTGGGTGTCGCTTTGATTTGACGGGCGATACGATGGGGCAGGACATCATAAGTAACTGGTGTCGCTTATGACTGACGCTGTGGAACAAAGGATTTCTCATTTGGCAGCTTCAGCTCCTTTGTTTTGTTATTTCTCTTCTACTTCTCGCATCCCTCTTTCGCAGAGGAAGAGATGCGAGTGAGGGGAAGTGAGGAGCCACGCTAGCATAATGAAAAGCACCCCTGGTACATTCCACTTCCTGTTCATACTCACGTCTTCGTTGGTGGTCTGGTTGGAGCTGATCAGGTAGGTATGGAAGCCTGAGAGGCCCACTATGGACCAGACAGAGAAGAAACACACCACCACCTCCAGCACGGTGACGCCATTAGGTCAAGGAACAATCCTCTGCTGTTGATTTAATTTAATCTATTCTTAAACTTAGTGCAACAGACAATAATATGAAAGCCCACGCACACAACCCAGACCCATATGGAGACAGCATGGACACAAAAAAAAATGCAGTTGTAGCAGCTAGCATATTGACCTACAGCCTGAGGGCTGTCCTCCTCTTGCCAATACTTCCTAGTTACCAGTTCATTTGGCTGGGACTGCAGAACACTGCTCATTTTCTCTGCTCCACATAAAGCACAAAGCACAGACACTGTTCAAGATGAATCCTTCTGCCATTACAAAAATGAACCACAGTAACCCATACCGCATGGACTACATCTTAGAATACGGTTTCTAAAGGAGCATCTTATTCATAAATTGACATACACATATCCAGACGCTACAAATCCACGGCTTAGTACAACAAGTAAGAGCCTGAGGGCGTACTGAGGAAAAAAAAAAAAAAAATACTTGGTGGGTCAGTAAATATTACATCCTCAAAGACCACAAGGCAGTCTGTACTGTACCAGAAAGATCAACAAAATACCCTCACTCTCCCATTTTCTCTCTTTTAATCTTCTTCTTTCTCTCTCTTCCCAATCTCTTCCTCCGTAGCAAGGACAAAACATGTCATCATTCTTCTAGTACAAAAGGACTGCTACGATAGTATCGACTGCAATTCCCCTTTATTAAAGCCCTGTAGGACACAGGACGTTATCAGCTTGGCTTGGCACACATTTCTCTGCCGGAGAGTTATCTCACTCAGCCATAGAGAGAAGGGCAGAAAGAGAGAGAGAGTCAGTGTCACAACCCTATGCTCCGAGCTTGATTTGTGGATTATGAATTGCATTGGGTATCATTTTGAGTTTATCAACTAATTGACATTCACTTAGGAGAATCTGGTTAAGTGAGAGAAGAATCCCAAATAATTCGAAGCCCTTCTTTCTACGTTGCCATAAAGAGTCATGAGGTGCTTTATTACCATCTTTGATTTAAAGGTGGAATAAAATTCAGGTTCAGTTTTCTTCCTACCGAACCTTATGTGCAAAAGCCTGCAGCAGAGGCAACATTAAACTTAAATTATGATGGCAACGATTTACAGTTAAAAGCCAAGGTCAAATGGTGTGAAACTAAACTCTGCTCCAGTGTCAAAATAAAACATTTTACTTACTTGGACTTGCCACGGTAAATATCTCTGGTGTTGTGTGAAGACATTAAGTCGACTTACAGTGTATTTGTAACATCTACAGCTTAAGACGTCCGGCACACGTCTGCTATCTATCGCATCAACACGCTCGCGCTCGTATCAAATCTCCCTCACGCAGCATCTCTGTAGAGGGAGAGGGGCAAGTTAAAGCCAGATGAAATTAAAGAGCGGCTAAATCAATCGACGGAGACAGAGCGCGACCTGCCTTCTTGCGTGCTGCGTTATCCCAACGGAACGGGATTATTCGGACACACACAAGTCATGCAACTAGTATGACTCTGCAGAAAAAAGGCAGCGGCAAAGGATCGAAATGAAACATGCAAAATAAGTTGAACCTACTGAATCAAACTGTTGGTTCTCACTCAAGTTAGTCAAGGTAAAAGGAATACAGTGGTAAAAAAAAAATATGGGATGACAAGAGTACGGCAAAAACACTCTTATAAACACACTAATAACATAAAATGCAAGTAAATGCAAAAGGATATCTGGCAGGGCTGTCTTTGAGCGCGTTGAGGAACCCGCTTCGATGGGACACTGCGACTGGAGACACAGACAGAGTTTCCATTAGACCACAGTGCAGTTGTGTTTACTCTTACATATCTCGTATAAAATCAGCATTAAACACCACCCGCCTAATGGGGAACTTGTATCAGATATGTAGTGCTGGCCGCTACCTGCTGCAGACACTTGGGTGAAGTTTGAGATGAACTGAGATAGGCTTGAGTGTGCCCACTTAAATTGGAATTTAACTTCCAAGTGTGGAGAGTAAGAGGACACAGCCAGAAGACCACAAACACAGGCTGGCCCGCTGTATGCGGCAGTAGGAGACATCTCTATAGCTCCCATTAGCCAGACGGAGTGGCTACTTATTCGCTTATTAGAAAGACGTGTCAATTTTAAACTGCTGTTTACAAAATAAATGTTGAGAAGCGCTGTAATTACCTCTGATCTTGGGCATTGTCGAGCAGGTTTTATCACTACTGTACTGTGGTGTCTCTAATATGCTCTGACGCCCGGTGGGACAAAAGATAATAATAAAAATCACGGAATTAAAACTCCTATGATGCCTTTTTGTCAAACCTGACAGCACTTGGACTCAACACAGCATGGCTACAATCAAAGGAAAGAGAACAGCTAAAAGAGTATTAATCATCACTACAAGCTAATCTTGACCCATATTTCTGTCCCCTGTGCAGCATTGATCCGCTGACTTGTCATTTAAACACACACACACACACACACACACTAATGGGGAGCCCAACAGTCCGCTGCCTGCTCCCAGCTGGAAAGATGGTAACAAGCCAGAACGCTGCAGCATTTCACGACGCCCACTTGCAACCTGCTGGCTCGAAACACACCAAGAACACAGTCAGGAGGAGTGTAAGTCTGTGCCATGCCTGAGAGCACATGTCCTTTTCTTTTTTTTTTTTTCTCCTTCTCTTCAGCTACTTACGTAAAATGATGTGCGTGATGGCGAAGGCGAAGATGAAGATGGTGAGGAAGGAGAGGGAGAGGATGAACATGTAGAAGAAACGGTAGTTCCTCCTTCCCACGCAGTTCCCCACCCAGGGACAGTGGTGGTCAAAACGCTCTGCATGGACAGACGCAGACAGACGGAGGGAGAGTAAAAGAGTTTATTCTGGACACAAGGACAAACGCCTACAAGTCTTTTATGCCATCGCATTGCTGCCACAGTGATGCATCCCCTGATTAAATATGAAGTCTTTGTCATGTGTTTGTTTAAAAAAATAAATAAATAAAAAAGATATCAGGTTAAGCAACAGTGGTTGAGAAATCATGCTTCCCCAGCAGAAGCCTAGTTGTGTAAACCGTGCTTTCTTAATTCTGGATTAAGACAACTGCATGATGTTTAAAAACAACTAGGTTACATCAGTGCACAAATCTAGAACTGTGGGAAATTAGGGGAAAGGGGAAACGTCCCTCTGGGTCTTGGCATAATAATATACACATTTTTCACATAGCACGAGCTGGCTATTTATATAAACTAGCTAATAAAAGTTCGAGGCCTGCCGACATGACTGTGTAAGGCTGAAAATCGCCCCGTGCCACTGTGGGACCGTTTGAGGTTGAGAGGGTGAAAGAAGCACTTTGCTGGGTCAACAGATAAAAGTGACGCCATTAAGACCTCAATCAAAGAGTGTTTGAAGACAAAGAGAGGCAGAGAAGTTAAAAGTGTTGTCAATACGCCGTAAAGATCATACAGATGAGAGAGACTGAGGCTTTCCAGTATGTTAAAACTGACACGAGTCTGATAGTCACCTTGGTGTTATTGTGCAGCACAGAGGAGGCTTTTTCATCCAAATCTGTGTTGTTTAAATGAATAAAATGCCTAAAAATAAGTAAATACTCCCATGTATTCAGTTTGAAGTGTTCAGATCTTTGAAAAAACATAATGTGCTATGCTTTCCAATTAAAATTAGTCTGTGGTATTTGATTCAGAGGAACTGCAAACAGCTCCAGCACACTTATCATTTGCCTGATTGCTCTGAGAATGGAGGACTTATTGTTAGGATTTAATCAGCCTCAACTCTGTCGTCCTATCTGAGTGTGAACTACTAGCTGTGCACAGTGGTAGCTACTTAACTAATTAATCAGAGCCATTATTTGTTTAGTGAGGGGAAATGACCTGCTTTTGTCTCCATTAGTCAATGCCTGGTTGAAATGTGTCGGGGAAACGGAGCCTTTAGTCAGACGGAGGGGGGAGTCAAATCTGATTATCGCAAAAGTGTGCCGGAGGTCATTAATATTAGATAATCAACGACACCAAAACAGCAGAAAAGACTTTAGATTCATGCCCGCTTTGTCTTTAGACATCAATGAAAACGTCAATGCAGGGATGTATTTTATTATGAAACTCGAAAAAAAGAGTAAAGTCCCTCCAAACGACACGAGTCTGGTTTTAACTAGTGATGCACGATATTAAAATTTCTGGCCGATACCGATATTAAGATTTCTGATATCGCCGATAACCAATATTATCGATGTCGATATTCAATTTTTGTTCACACTGATAAATGGGTAAACACTGAGAAACTATTCAGAAGAAGCCCAAATTAGAACACAGTCTTCTTTATTACAGAACAATAATAAAACATATTTAAACATATTTAGGAGCATTTAAGTAAAAACATCTGTGAAATAGCAGCAATATCAAATGTAGAGACGAAGACACTAATGTTAGACCATCATTGGCTACATTTGTTTACTGGACCGATACCAATATATCGAAAAAACATTAATATCGGCCGATATATCGTGCATCCCTAGTTTCAACTTTTTAGATCAATCGTACACTTCATGGATCACGAGGAGTTAAAGGAGTTTGAAACAGCAGCCAATAAAAGGTTTTGGCAGCTCAGTGGCACTATCCTTCTTATGATGATTGTAATTCAAAACTAAAAGCTTAAAACACAGCTCTTAAAGTTTAATAATGAGCTAATATATTCTTACTTAGGTGTCAATATTCTTTTGATGTGTTTTTTTTTTTACATAGCAATGCAATTTCCCCAAGGGAATCATTGAAGCTTTATCTAATGTCCTCTAACAGCACACAGCCCCATAATCACTCCTAAAATAAACCCCTGAAATCAGTATTTGTAACACTTACAGTTAGAATCTAAACACAAACAGTCAGATCTTCTTATGCTGCTGTGTACAGTGTGAAGGAAATAACAGAGCGTGACTTCAAGGGAACTGATGTGTGTGTGTGTGTGTGTATCATAATTCTGTGCTCTTATAAGCTTCTTCTATCACTCCCCAAGGGATAACCCTCTTAAAAAGGAAGTGACTCCACCATGTTCCTATCCTCTACATCCACCAGGGAGGGCCGATCCATTCTGTCTCCTAACTTATTTAAGAGCTTGTTATCCCCCTGGCTTTTACAGCACCAGAGGCACAGAGAGAGAGAGAGAGGCAGTGAAGTCAAGAGTCAGGGGGAACACTCGTGAATTTTTTTTTCATCGCCACCGTGATGCCCGTTTTCAGTTTAAGAGCAAATGCCAATCCAGTTTGCTGCTAATGCTGATCATTTTAGAGGTAGAGGCCATGGTTCAAAAAGTCCAGAAAATAAAATGTAAGTTCTTTTCGTCTTGGTCTATTTCCCTGCAGCAGTATTCCTGCAGATTATCTCAATGCTGGGTGGAGACGAAACGCTTTGAGAGTAGGCTGGAAAGTATTCTCATGAAAGAGACACCAGTTACGACGGACATTCATCAGCAGAGTTCATCCCTCCCACCCACCTGCCATCCGGACAGTCCAACTATGCGTCACTTTCTCCTTTTTTAACTTCCCCTCCCATCTGCGGTTCACATCTCCCAACTGTGATCAAAACATTGTGTTTAAACCTTCTAATCGAGGATCTATACTTTCAAAAATGACGCCGCTCTGTGTCAATGTTTGATTTGGAAAAAAGCATCTGCCGCCATTGTTCTGCTTTAAATAAATAACATTTATCTCATCTTGTGTTTTCAGAGCAACATAGCAACACAACTTCAAAGAGCGAGCCTCATTAGTCTCATTTCATAGTTTGATCGTGCACTTGAAATGTGCACAAAACCCACCTCTGTGTAACGACACACATAGCCTGTTTGCCAGAATGACTGCCCATCCATCTTTGTGTTCGGCTCCCAGTCTGTCTTCCTTCCTGCCAGCGTGCATCTGCTGCATCTGATTACCACCTCCTCATCTTTTTTTTTTTTTTTTCCCTGTGTTTACAACTTCCTCATCTTTGTCTCCCAGGTTTTCAGTCAGCTCCGCTTCTGACAGGAAAATAGACATTCAAAGGCAGAGCTGTCTCTGAAGAATGACGAGCACAAAAAACCCTGATGAGGAAGATGCAGACGTACCGGGTCTCTGAATCTCTGTCTCCATCTTTTAGTAATTGCCTTGCTGTGCTCTTCACTTTGTCCCCAGAGACTGAGCATGTGGCTGTGAAGAGCAGCAAAACTCAACCATTATGCTGCTCTTTTTTCCCCCCTCTTTCTATTGTTCTCACTGTAACTATTCCATCCCGGCTGTGTTTGGATGTTGATTCCTCCAGGCATACAGCGGTGTGTACTGTTTATTCCTTGTAGGTCTGCATCGCAAAAAGCAACATTTACCTTGGCTTGTGTTCTAATATACAGTCTTTGTAGAATCAGTATGAGCATGATTTGTCTGATTTCTGTGAATAGTGTGTGTGTGTGAGAGAGAGAGAGAGGTTGGGGGAAGGTAGGTGAACTCTGGCAGCATTTTATCACAGGAAATGTGCTATTTTTAAAAAGGCCTAAATACTAGCCATACTGCTGCTTGCCTATCATCAGATTAAGCTTTATAGATCTTTACCGAGCTTACTCTGGCCTTTTATTAAAACACATGAGCCAAAAACTGCTGACACCTACGTCTCAAGATCATGTAAACGTAAAAAAAAAACTCCCAACAACCGGAGACCGTCGTCATAACTCACCCACACAGTTGTCACAAAGGCTGCAATGGGAGGCACGTGGTGGTCTGAAGATCTTGCACGTGAAGCAATACTTCAGTTTGACTGTCTGGCCGTTGATGACCACCTCCTTGGTCCTGGGAGGAGGCCGGTAGCCGGTACCGCCGTTAGCTACATCTGTGGAGAGAGAGAGGGGAAAACAAAACAAGTGAGAATTCCAGTGGATAAACTGTTAACACATTATTAATGCAGAGCTCCCACACGCGCCGTTACCGTGTTCATGTGGTGATATTGGTGTACATGTGGTATGAATATTTCAGTGGCATAAAAATACTATTTATTCGGGAAACCTGTGTGTGGGATGTGGAGACTGAGAGTAAAATGCAGATTTAAAAAAAAAACAAGGAGCCTACGTTACGAATTGTGGCTTTAGTGGTAGTATTGTGTTGAAAGAACACAAGGAAACTACAGTAATCTAAGAGGTAATTAGCTACAACAGGAGAAAACTGACAAAGCAAGATTAGAAAGAAATTTAAATACTAAATAAATTCAGTACTACATGGCAAAAATATTTCAAAACACAATAAAAAATTTTTTTTTTAACAAAACAACACTAACATTTACAGCAGTGGTTTTCAAACTGGGGGTCGGGACCCCATGGTGGTCCCAAGATAATTTCAGGGGGTCGTCAGATCATTGTATAAAAATAAATAAAGCCCACATTCATCAAATAAATTTGTATTACGGCTGTCAAAATTAAAAGTGTATACTTCTTCCCACTCCTTTTTCGAACTTGTTAATATTATGATTTGATTATGCGACATTATTATTATTTTTTGTTCTTTTTAAAATGATTTTTTGTTTTTGTATTTTTTTCCCCTTTCAAATAAACTCAATTCATTCATTAATTGAAAAGAAAATCAACATGTTGATGTAAAGAGATTAATCTGTGGAGTTAACACATTCATTTTTAACGCATTAATGCATAAACAACAAAGTTATTACTCATGCCACATTAAAAATTCAAATTGGGGGATCACAAACACAAACTTATCTTGAGGGTTGTGGCTCAAACTGTTTGAGAACCACTGATTTAGACTATAAACTTTTTATTTTACACCCTATCAAATGTTTTTTTCTCTTTACTGGTGCAGCACTACTCCGATAATAACCTCTACTTTACATATTGGACGACTAACGCAGCTCCAACAACAAAGAGCAGTTAATAATTGTGTGAAGGGTATAGATTTTACTAATGGCTGGCAGATCTACACCGGCAGTGCACTGGGATAAATATCACGCTGCTTTCAAAACCTTTTGAAAATGGAAATAGTAAAATCAGCCACCTGAGACGCCACAAAAGGCGCAGATAATACACGTCTTTGTGTGTGTAGGATGAGTCAGTATTATCCACTCGATTTTACTGTCTAGAAGCAATGTGTTCGGGTTGTCTGGTTTAATTTGTCTCGAGATGGATGCACCTCAACGAGGCTATGATTAAATAAAAATCTTCACTGATCTGCTGCTATCTTAAGCTCTGGTAAAAAGGTACATGTCATGATAGGAGAAGCTTAAAAAGGTTAGAACACGGACAACCCACACAGCTCATTAATTTTAATTAGCTCCACCATTTTAGCTCCTTTGTGCGAGCTATACAGCCTCTGCGGGTCAAACTTGACAACCAGAACCAATCTTTTGCGTGGCTGACAGAACACGCTAAAACCATCAAGTCGTGTCTTTTTCTGCATAAAATGAAATCAGCTGTTACGGTGACTTAAAACTGCAACCGAGTTCACTGAACAACACAAGTCTGGAACTCAACATGCACTTAACACCGCAATCCTCAGACTGGGATGAAAAGAAGAAGAAGAAGTAGAAATGGTGGCAAATTGCACTGAGTGGCTTTTGGTGGAGTAAGACAGCAGTGATGACGGGCTAAACGGTAATGATGGGAGCAATGATAGTGATTTTCAAGCCATAAAAGGTAAAGCCTGTATCCTATTATTGCGGTGCTTGCTTTGAGCACTCTCACGCATGCTGGGAGTAGAAGATAGTGTGTGTAGGAAGATCATTTTGAGATCATTTACACAGAGGCCTGAAGCATTGCTAACAGAGTGGTATGTATGTGTGTTAGTGGTGGTGGGGGGTTTGTGGGGACTGAGAGGTTTGTGTGGGTGTTTGACATTTCTAAAGCAGAGCAGAGGAAACGCAGCCTGTGAGTTCTTTTTTTTTCTATTGAATTCGTCTCTATTGTGATCAATGCCTACAGAGCGCTCCACTCTCTTCGTACTCCTTCTGTCCCTCTGCCCTCGCAGCACAGCGCATTGATGGAGGCAGAAACGAGAGGGAGCGCCAGAACAATTGGGAGCACAATTCAGGTTCCGCCGTGTTAAAATCTCCAGGAGACGCTCCATTGTTACGGTGCTCATTGCGCAGTAAAATCTACAGTAATATTAGCTCCTGTCAGGTAAAATAAAGCGCTATGACAACCAACTTGTGAAGCATCAGAGGAACCTGTGTGTTCTGAGATCTCTAAGCGACATTGGGAGGTAGAGAAAGATGCATATTGGCATATTTATGTCATATCAAACAGAGTAATTAAAAGATGCTGACGGAGGAGATAAAACTCAACAGTAGCTCTCAATAATCATATCAGGTAATTAACACCCTGAACCCCAAAAACCTGCCAGCAGGTTTGAAACGCATGTTATTCCTAAATGTCACTATTTATCATAGCCAGAAACTGAAACAAGAAGAATTTCACTTCTTCAACAGTCCTTGAACTTTCGGTTTTGGTGAGAACAAAACAAACATATCTGAGCTGGAAATCAGGACATTTCATCATTCTGAATGTCTCATTTCTGAAGAAAAACCAAAAAACAAACATCTGCAGTAATTAGATTTTGCAAAAAAAAAAAACAACCCTAAAACTGAGAAGCAATGACCAACAGTCACACAACAAAAGTTTGAGTCCTTTTTGGCTGAACTGCAGACTGTGTTGACACCAAGCAGAGACAAGCATGGAAATAATGTAAAAATGCATCCATAGTGTGCAGAGCCACCATGTTTTTCAACTGTTAGTAACAACTGTGGGCACTTGGAGAAAGCTTGCACATGTTGATTCCATAGTTTAAATATAAATATCTATATTTTTGTATGATTATAATCATTCTAACTTTGCTGTTCTGCACAAAACCCATTTTGGAGCTCTCCTTACTTCTGATGATGGTCGTACTATTTCCAAAGAGGTGCAGGACTTTATACTTCAGAGAAAACTGAGCACATAAAGAGTAAAATGAGTGACATGAGAGAACAACGCCCACGAGTTGCTTTGAGGGGTCCAGGGGGATAAACACAGTTTTGTGTGCGTCGGCCTCACTTGTTAATGAACAGTTAATACGACACACTAACATGATCCAACTTAGGTTTCTATGGCTACGAGACCAGCAACAGGAGTAACGAGCATGAAATAATGCATGAAGATTTCCAAGCCAATAATGGGTTTTCCCATTCATTGCATACCGCCGACATACTATGAATACAAAATAAGGCAACACAATCAGTTGTGGCAGCAGACATGTGGCACCACTCATACAGTCTCGGTGACTTGCAGACCAACAGTACAACAACCCTTACATCAGTCTTCAGAACGGATTTTAATAATTTATGTAGATACATATTTTTTTGGGGGGGGCTTTTGACTTTATTTAGAGCAGTCGAGAGACTGGAAAGAGGGGAAAGGAATAGGGAGAGACCTGCAGTAAAGGGACGTGAGCGGGATTCGAACCCACGACCACTGTGTCAGGGAAATATAGCCCCTGTTTACTGGTCGCCCGCTCAACTAGGTGAGCTGTAAGGGCGCCCAGGATTTTTATTTTAAATGTATAGAATGCTTTTCTTACTGTAGGCTCAAACTCTTCTAAAATTGTAGAAAAAGAAACAACATTATATCATATAATTCAATCTAATACACTGACAATGTATAGTACAAGTTTATAACAGTCAGTTTCTGACCTTCTCCATGCGGGCAACAATAAAAAAGCAATACTATGACATTTAAAATCAGTAAAAAATGATGTTATTGTTCACTCTCTGGGGGACAAAAACATGACAAGGTAGGATCAGTTCAACAGCTCATCAAACTCTGGTTTTAAAGTTTGTTGTAGAGTTGAATCAGTACATTTAGGGATGAACAAAAATGAAACTATATCATCTTCTCATATAGGGCTGCAAGGTGGAGCGGTGGTTAGCACCGTTGCCTCGCAGCAAGAAGGTCGCCGGTTTGCGTCCCGGTGAGGACACCTGGGATCTTTCTGCATGGAGTTTGCATGTTCTCCCCGTGCAGCGTGGGTTCTCTCCGGGTTCTACGGCTTCCTCCCACACAGTCCGAAAACATGTTGAGGTTAACTGGTGATTCTAAATTGTCCGTAGGTGTGAATGTGAGCGTGCTTGGCTGTCTGTCTCTAAGTGTAGCCCTGTGATAGACTGGCGAACTGTCCAAGGTGTCCCCTGCCTTCACCCTGAGTCAGCGGGGATAGACTCAAGCCCCCCACGACCCTAGTGAGGATTAAGCGGTGTATAGATAATGGATGGATCTTCTCATATGCAAAAGTCATAACCGTGATTCTGAATTGCATTATACTGTACACATGTTTCTATTAATGTCCACGCCTGTGTAGATGTTTTTTAAAAAGCGGCCTAACTCTTTCAACTTGAGAGCTTTTCTACCGTCTAGCCGTCTCAAAAGCAGTAGAAAATTAATGGTATGAAATTAGCTAGTTTCTCGCAGGTGTTTATGCGGAGACAACAAAAACAACAATTTACTCACAGCCCAGCCTTAAATACCTGCCTCTAAATACCACTGTCTCTGTAAATCAGAGCGCGGTCATACCATTAGTGCACCTCGACCAGTCCATCAACATTCACTACGCTTGTTCACAGAAGCCTGCAGTAAAGTAGTAGTGTGTGTGTGTGTGTGTGTGTGAGCGAGCGAGGGTGTCAAAGTCGCTTTTTTGCTGAACAAAGCTATTTGTACACTTAGCCGTCCTGGCAGCCAAAGCTTAGCCTTGCATCAGTGTCTAGTGGGAGATCCCTCAGAGAGATAGGCCAGGACTAAGAGCTTGAAGCTAGAAAATAAGGCCAGGTACACTGGAAAGTGATGTAACACAACACGCATA